CGGAAAAAGTTTGTTCGTGCATTTCGCCTAAAAACAAATTCATCCATCAAACGGTAGCGTGCCGATAGCACAGCGACAGAAAAGTTGTTGAGATGAGGACACATTCGGACTGCTGCCCCTTTTATAATGCTGAGCCCAGTGAATAAAATACTTCGATGGGAAAGCCGAAACATCAGTTAGCGCTGAGGAAAAGGTTTGTTCATGCTTCTTGCCTGAAAACAAAGTGATCTATCAAACGAGCGTGCTGATAGCTCAGCGACAGATAAGTTGCCGAGAAGACAGTGGGACGGCTGCCCTTTTTAAAATGCTTAGTCCAGCTGCAGCGAATAAAGATACTTAGATTGGAAAGCCGAAGCATCAGTTAGCATTGCGGGAAAGGTTTGTTCATCCGTCTCGCCCAGACTTGTACGTACGCATTACAAGTAATCAAATTACTTGTAATCGATGACTTTTTGAAGTAATTTTGTAATCAGTTGAAAACATTTATTAGGCAGTAATCACAAGAGTAATCTGATTACTTTTTGAAGTAATAAAATTACTTGTAACAGTTACAATTTGTCCAGGACCTACGACGTCAAGAAGGAGGTTATTTTGTGCTTGTTTTTGTAATTCTAATTTGCCTATAACTTTTAAGATAAAGCGAAATTTGAGAAAATAAAAGTTTCTTTAAGTTACTACGTTCAGTGCGCTCAGGGTGGGTCCAAATTAAAAACCAGTCAAAAAGTTATTGCAGGGCCCCTTTAACGCGCCCAATGACGACAAACGAGCAGAAAGCATGTCTTCAGCACGCTGCCGGCCAGCCTCTGCAACGCTCGAAAAGGTTGATTTTCCGTATCCCAAGATCGCCATCCGGTAGCCGCAATCAGGGAGCGGGGAAGCGCAATTTAGCGATTGTCGTAGAGATCAGTAAAAAAAATATGGAATGCATACCCTCCTAGCATCCATCAGGTAGGGATAAGCATTCTGTGCAGTCTATATGCCCATCAATGTCAACGCATGTAGCCGTTTGCAGGCAGTCGCATCCATTCGAAGATCAATCTGGCCTTCGTCAGGCACCAGCTTTTCCTCTCGGCACACAGCCAGTGTTGGTGGACTTCGAGGCTGCTCACATCTTCACCCTCCACAGGCTGGGCAACCCCGGTCTGTAAACGTAGAATATGAATATGGCAGGTATTATTTGATAACACTTTATGTTTTGGCCGTGTAAAGAAAATCTGCATACCATTTTCTAACACATCAGTTATGAAATAACAAGGTCAGGTGTTACGGCCCGAGTTCGCTGACTGAAAGACAGAGGGCTTAGCCTGAACCAATATCCTAGCAGCCTTCGATACTGGTGTGGGGGGAGAGAAGGCTGAACCTCTAAAGATGTCTTCAAATAATTCTCTAATTGCTCAACTCCAAAGTTTCGGGCTGCTTCACTTCAATGTTCTGAACTTTTTTCAACATATACTGGCGCTGTCGCTAACCATGTTCCATTTGCCAATTTTTTACACGCCCCTTCTCCTCCAATCAAAACAGCGCGAGAGCCCGCCGTGAACAGACTTGGCATCATCGTGTGTCATATATCCCCACCTTCCCCACTAAGATGCAATAAAGCCAAGGCTTGAGCACGAGCTCACAGCATCGCTAGATGGTCGCACTGCACTAACCCTCCTGCAGCTTGAGTATCTACTATACTCCGTTTCACCTTATGTTGTACCCCAGCGAAGGCTAGAAGCGCGAGCACATAGCGTTGGCAGCTGCCCATGGTGCACGAGAGCTTGTGCCGCCGAGGTGTGCCTTAAGCCTAGTTCACATGCAGCGGTTTTGGCCCTAGAGCGGCGCGATTTCTGCCGTCGCGGCGCTCTAGCCAGCACCAGCAATTCAGCGGCACGAGCGCCGCGACGGCAGAAATCGCGCCGCTTTAGGGCCAAAATCGCTGCATGTGAAACCCGCTTTAGAGCAAAAAGCTTGCGCTTGTAGCCTTTCCTGCGGCACAACACAAGGTGAAACAGAGTATAGTACTGGTAAAAGCGAGCGAGTTGAAAATGAATACTTAAAGTCGAAAGAATAAAACGCGAAGGACAAGCACAGGACAACCACGTAAAGCCTGGTTCAAACAGTTGCGTTTGACTGCGTTTGACCGCGCTGCGGCTGCGAGAAACCAGGACATCCCTGCTGCTTATGTCGCGTGCCAAGATGATTCCTTGAATTGGAATCCACGCTTCATACGAAGCACAGATGTGCCGGTGACTCGCTTTCGGTTCTAAACGCAACGCAGACAAACGCACTCAAACGCAAGTGTGAACCGCCCTTTACGGTAGAGGCTCACAGTAAAGCTGTGAGCCCGAACCGTCTCGCACGTCTAGCCTTCGCTTTAGTACATCTCAAGATGAGACGGAATGTATCATAATAGAACCGATGTGTTCTCACCATTTTGAGCAGAAGTGCGTGAGTAACCGATGCTATTTTCGTGGTCGCTTGCACGTAAACAACCAAGGAGGTTGTACACAACGCCGGCATTCATCTGGCTTGAAAACAACTTAAGCGTTGGCTTGGCTTGGATGTCAGCTGCCAATTGTGCTTTCTTGAACTTCACGAAATCCGCTAAATTGAGCCGACTGCTTCTTGACTTCTGCTGTCGGCGCGTCTGTCTGCAATTTGGTGGTTTCCGAGTTCGACGACTCGGGAATCATGGGTGTACCACCGGAACACCCTCTTAACACGATTTCGGTAGCCGCAGGGTGTAAAAAGGATGTACGAAGGGTGTAGGCCTTTCCGTACACCCTTGAATATTCAATTATCATGTAAACATGGTGTAGGAAGGGTGTGAGCTCGGAAAAACACCCTTTTAACACGAACATGGGTGTTGAAATTTTCAGTGTGTAGTAGACAAGACCTGCGCATGACGACATCGTTTAAGCTGGTATTGCGTCCGTCCAGCAACATTGACGTGCTCTGATATTCAAGACAACGAAGATGAAGGGCCCCGGTGATTAGCCTAATTTCATCCTTGTGAACGTTCCCAAAAGTGAAGCCATCTAACGCAAACAGTGCCCTAAGGACAACATAAAGTGTCAGCTTATATCGTCCCACGTGTAAAAATATAATAGCCCTTACGTGATATGTGTTGTGGAGTGTTCTCACTTCCCAACCTACCGTGCGTGTCATCGCCCTGGGCAGCTGAACTCGTCAAACACAAAGTTGGGGCCAAAGTTGACGAAGCGCACCGATTGGCCTCCCACGACGATGACTTCGCGCTTTTTTAGTCGGCGCCCAATGGGCGCGCTCTGCGAACTTTCGGCTCTAACTTTGTTTTTAAACGTTTTAGTGAAAACACGAGACTGATGTAAAACAGACGACGACAAGGAAGAGAGGAGAACGTCTCAAGCTTGAGGCGTTTTCCTTCTCTTCCTTGTCGTCGTCTGTTTTACCACAGTCTCGGGTTTTCACTAAAATGTTTAATATACACCAGCTCACTTGCGCCCTAACGTTCTGCTCATTCTAACTTGGTGTTTGACGAGTTTAGGGCCCCAGGAATGCAATCAAAGTATGCACGTGACATACACATGAACGCTGGAAAAGAAATTACTGGGGGCACTTAATACTGCTTACGTGTAGGAATGTGAAAGCATTCGTACAAGCAGCGAATTCGTACAAGCAGCGCGCCCCGCTGTCCTCCGCAGAGAATGGGCCAACGGGCGCATGCGGCGGCCACGCGCGCGCCAACCTCTCCTTTTTCCGCCGCGCGAGCAGCAGCGCCAGGAGCAGGGCTTCTCTGTGGTGTGGCGTTCCTTGGAACCATGGCGCGTCGCAGCCAATGGAAATTTATTGCTAGTTTCGCTCAGCCGAAATTGGGGTGCCGTTTCGCACAGCCGGAATTTAGGTGCCGTCTTTCACGGTTACAGACAACGCCGGCTGCGCTCCATGGGACAATTAATGCTTTCGCATTAAAAGACTAATCGTAAGACCGCTAGTCCAAGGAACAGTAGTGCGACATGTATGGCCCATTCGTGGCTTTCGCTATTCCAGAGAACTAATTTCTGTACCATTTTCAGCCAAAAGAGCAGTGCGCGCGCGCACAGCTTTCAGCGGCGTTTATGCACGTGCCTCGGTACCTTTCATAGTATAGCAACTTAAATGTGTCCATGAGTACTTTTTAAATGTGGTCCTCCGACCAGTATATATGCTTCAGCAAAATTACCAGTGTGCAAGGGAGCATGCAGTGAAAATAGTTGCACGCGCTGGATTTGCGGACTCATGTGACAGCAATTTCGTTAAAGCAAAACTGCAATTGTCAAAGGCACATGCCTTTGCCAATTGACTATTTGGGTATCTACTTCGTATATTTTATACAGGTATAGTAAGCATGGGCAGATCGGCCACTAACATTCCCAGCATTGTTTTTAGCGCTTTTGTAATTTGGTAAAAGTTCTCTATTACGACGTCTGCCGACGTAATGCGCACAATCCTAAGATCAAGGGCAGACATGTTTCGGGGTGCTGTGTGCCACTTGAAGCCAAAGAAACATGGTCCCCGAGATAGCAAAACATTCTCCCCTCGCGCCATCTCTCGGTTGTTATCAGCGAACTATTTTAAAATTTGATTTCCACCAAACGAAAAGAAACATCATCACGGCAATAATACAGTCCGCATTCTTGCCATTTGGAGCCCAAGGGAGGATTTTTTTTTTTTTAGTTCTAAGCTTGATATATTTTGAATCTTCTAATTTTTGTGTTCGATCCCCCAAACAATCCTTTCGGTGCATTAAATGTCAGCACAACATGTTGAAGAGCCATACTATTCTGAAGTATTGTAACGGCATCGGACTCGTCGCACTCATCTTGTATACGTTTCGCTTGCTTCTATAAGGAACGAAATGTTCCTCAGCCAGCCCCAATTAGATACTTTTATACGCAAGAAACGATGACGTACCGGTCTTTGTAACAATTTGTCCCCGTACGAAGTCCACCTCGTCTGAATACACCTTGAACATGAACATTTTTTCCAACCTGCAGACGTGGTTGCAATGGAGCATTATATCAACGACGTTCAGAACATGGGTCTCCTCTATCTTCCGGAAAATATCGCCTTTTACGATCCGGAAGAAGCGTCCACTGTCAAAAAGCAGAGTGTCCTGCTCTCCCTGTGCCACGCATTCTCGCACGAGGTCAGGATTTTCATCATTTTCCTACGCACTGGCATCGGCTGCTGCATTCATTTACGGGGACACGAGTGTTTTTTTTTTAATCGGTTTTTTTTTTCTACCACGAGACTCCAATGTAACAACTTCTAGGACTAAGTTTAACGATGTTTATTTTAACATGCGGTCTAACGGGAGCACCAAGTGGCGGCCGTACAAAAGACGCTTCGTACGAAAGACGCTTTCTAAACACACCAGCACACACCAGCGTATGCTGGTGTGTGGAACAGTAACTTTTCTAAAGCAAAAAAAAGAAACATAAAACGGATATCACTGGGTTTCTTCAGAAACGGACGGTCATGATGGTGTCATGCCTATTTTTGTTTTTATTTTCAATTGTATTTTTACATGAGGTAGTGAAACCTGTGGACACAACGGGACAGGCCTTATTTTTTCAGGATACTTCATAGTATTCGTGAGAAAAATCGCAATCTAAAGGATTTAAAAAAACAATTTTCGCAAATGCGCGATGACGCAACCTTGAACGCCGGAGAAATAAAGAATACAGCTTTCTACACCGTCAACATTTTTACGTGTGATGCAAGCATATTTTTCTGCTAGAATTAGTCAAATGTAACTTATATAATGATATATTTCAAGCGAAAGGAAATGCCAAACTTGGTTTCTCGAGCAAATCTTACATAACGAGGCATTTTTTGGCGAATTTTTAAGTCGCTCTAAATTTATGTTCTAAGGCTGAAACTTTTTATGTAAAGTGTTTCATGCCTTGCAAACGCTTAAAAAATTAATTAGCGTTATATTGTTGATTTTTTTTTTTCTGGATTGCGCCCGAAAATGTCGTCAAAATCGAAAAAGTCAAGATACTGAGATTTTTGTGCGGCAGATAAAAACAATAATCAGTCTCGATTTTATTCAAATTTACCTGATAGGCGCTTGATGACCGGTAAATACAAACCTGCAAAGAATTGTTGCATTATTTTGTTTTAAAACAAAAACATTTAAATGTGTAACCAGGTCGTGGTCGTGTCAATTACCGCTGGGGCGTTTCTGTTTTAACGACTAGTGGTACACGAGCGGCGCATGCCACAGTGTATCCGTACTTGGTCATGTGAAGGCCCAGGCACCATGAAGCACTCTAAAAATAGCACCTGAACGTGGTTTCATTGCTTATGCGGTGAATATTGCCAACGAAAACTGAACGTTGCGGCGCTTCCGATCCCTATTAGGGCATTTTGCTTGGCTGGTTAGACGTTCATTGTGCTACCATTTAAAGTTAGTACTTTAGTATTAGTGCCTGGTTGACAAAATAAATTGATTCGTACTTCTAGGCACCGCTCTAAAGCTTTCTGACAAAATAGTTTGATTCATTTCTCTAAGCATCGCTTGAACGAGCGACATTGCAGACACTTCTGCGCCGAACGATGGCGCGCGTGGCTAGGGCCGACCGAAAACAGTGTATGTCTCGAACAACAATGGCAAATGAGTGGAAATCAAAGTTGAGTTAGAGGAAATTTAGGTAGCGTAAGCGCTTCAGTGCCGGAGGCAACAGCCAAGTGTGCGCTCGGGCGCTTCTCAAGCAGATACAACAAAATTTCTTGAGACGCCTCATCCGTGATCAGAAAAGTCATGTTCTGTGACTCGGTCGACGGGGGCAAGAAAGTTATTGATCTGGGGGAATATTTTTACAGAATTTCAAGAGTGTAATAGAGTGCGAAAACCTGCAAATGTTTATTTGCAATTAGAACGCTCTTGGCGAGAATCAACTAGCGCCGCCACCGAATGCCGTAAGCCGTCACACGCGCATAGGTGCGTGGTTCATTATAAACAGAAAAGAAAGAAAGATCTGCTGACCAGACGACAGACCTACACCACGGTGAGGTCTTGCCAATAAAGAGGACGCAACACAAGTTTTTAAACAGCGGGAGTTGAATTCAAACAATGATTTAAATAGAAATAGAAATATTATAATAGGGTTCACAAGTACCGAAACGTTGCACTAAATAGTCTTCACACGTTATACCCTACCAGATTGCAATACTGAAGAGCCATAGTGGGTGGAGGGAGTGTCTAGTCTGTCACTGTCCGGGACTTACGGCCTCTTCCCTTGCATTGTCCGAAGGGGGTAATATCTGGTACCGGTGGATTCCACGGTGGGCTAGTAGGCATGTCAGGTTCTTTATGGAAAAAAGAAAGGAAACTGAGAGGTCCGCCTGATTTTTGATGTCAAAAAAATATATTTGCACCCAGTTATTCTACTTTCTGAATCCACGTAAAAAAAGGGTAACTTATTAGCAAATAAATAAAAGAAAAGGGCGTATGTCCAAAGTTCGACTTGCCGAGGTTGGCACTGGTTTACGCTGGTGGTAGAAGCCGGTCTCGTTTGGCTTCAGCTGCCAGCGTACCGATGGTGACCAGTCAACCGGTTGTTAGGAGGGCTTTGCCGGTTTGCTCTTAAGCCAGGCTTGCCGTTCAGAGTCGACGGTGAAGACAGGTCGGCAGACTCCTGTGAATGACAGCTTCGCCGGTGTATTCCGGAGCCAAGCTTTTTCGAATCCGTCCGCTCTTCGCCCTGAATCTCCTCGTTCCCCTCTACTTCTTTTTCTTTCCCTCTTCCACTTGTCTCCTTCTCTTTTCTTCCTCTTCTTGTCGCCATATTGATCACATCATTACAATGACCCTCCCTTTAAGTTTTTTTTTTCTTTTTAGTCCACGAGAAAAAAAAAACATAAAATATTCATAATGATGTGTCCTTTTGCTAAGTACAAATTCACAACCGACTAAGGTAATCCGCTCCGACATTTTCGTTGCCTTTAATGTGTTCTACTCGAAATGAATATTCTTGCAATAACAAACTCCAGTGGAGCACCCGACTGTTCAGCTGCTTTGCTTTGTTTAAGTACTGTAGTGGCTGATGGTCTGTTTGCACCACGAAATGCCTACCGTATAAGTACAGATGAAACTTATCCACTGCCCATACGAGTGCGAGGCACTCTCTCTCAAGAGTAGAAAAGTTCTTCTCTCTCGGAAGGAGCTGCTTACTGGCATACGCTAAAGGATGCAGTATCCCCTCGTGCTCCTGCATAAGCACCGCCCCCAAGCTGTGTTCAGAGGCATTGGTTCTTAGAACAAACTCTTTCGAAAAGTCTGCGCTTTTAAGAATAGGTGATTCCGTAAGTGCCCGCTTCAGCTCGTTGAAGGCTCTCTCGCGCGCGGTCGTCCACTCTACGTCCTTTTGTTCGCGCTTCTTTGTTAGCTCCACCAAAGGACCCGCAATTTCTGCATAGTTAGGGATGAACGATCTATAGTATCCCGTTGAACCTAAGAAAGATCGAACTTGTTTTTTTGCCTTCGGTTTCTCTGCTTTCTTTATTTTCTCGAGTGATGAGGACAGTGGTCTTATCTCTGTGTTTCCTAGTTCGTGACCGAGGAAAGATATTCTTTCCATTCCGATCTCACACATTTTGGCTTCACCGTGATTCCCGCCTGCCGTATTTTCTCCATCACCCGTTGCAGTGTGTCCATATGTTCGTCCCAGGTGTCGGTGGCGATCAGGACGTCATCTATATAATGGTGGACATTTGGAACGTCGGTCAGGAGCTGCCTCATCAATCGCGTAAACACAGCTGAGGCTGTCTCGATTCCAAATGGCATATATGCGAACTGATACAAACCAGAATCAGTTGAGAAGGCTGTTTTTGTTTTGGAATCGTTTGTGAGTGGAATTCGCCGATATCCCTTTGCCAAATCCAATTTGGAAAACAATTTCTTTGGTCCTACCTCAGTGAGCACGACGTCAATTCGCGGGATAGGTTCGGCGTCTGGCGTTAAGACGCTGTTGAGTCGTCGAAAGTCAATACAAAGCCTTACTGCACCATCTGATTTTTTCACTAAGACCAGTGGGGAGTTGTATGGAGAAGTGGATCTCTCAACTATTCCCAGCTTCAGCATCTCCTGTACCTCCCTTTCAATCGTTTACTTCATTGCGAATGGAATTGGGTACTGGGGGGTTCTGACGGGTGCCGACGTACTGAGTTCCAAATGGCAATGTAGAAGATTCGTTTTCCCCGGTACATCAGAGAAGACGTCGTCATAGTTGTACAGGAGCTTCTTCACTTCCGTAAGTTGTCCATCAGTTAACGTTTTAGACAGAAGCACATCTTCTGGCCTCCGGCTTCTCTGGACGCCTATAGAAGGAAGTTCATTTACGTCTTCTTCATCTTCTATCGCTATGAAAGAACCCACATGTTCCGCGACAGAAAACGGTGCCTCGCGCTCTTCGTACCGCTTTAACATGACGAAAAGGCAAACAGCGCGCAGAAAACGGGGACTAGAGGAGCGCTTTAACATGTTGATATGAAAAACTCTGTGAGCATGACCCAAATTTAGCTTGTAGTCGACTTCGTTTTTCTTTTCGACCACGGGAAAAGGACCTTTCCATTGCATGAGCAATTTGTTGTGGCTGGTGGGCAGTAAGATCAGAGCCCGATCTCCTACCTTCAACTGTCGGCCTCTCGCTCTTCGGTCATAATATCGGTTTTGAGTATGTCTTGCTTCGTCCAGTTTTTGGTGAGCTAGTTCCATTGTTTGTTCTAACCGACTCCGAAGCTCTAACACGTAGCTATAAGTCGTCTTCAGCTCCTCACTGATTGTATCTTCAGTCCAGATTTCTTTCAGCACCGACAATGGGCCTCGTATGTGTCGTCTATAAATCAACTCGAAAGGAGAAAACCCTAAACTGTGGCGCTTCGCGGTAGGCGAAGAGCACTGGCGCCAAGTACTCGTCCCAAGACTGAGGTTTCTCTTCGCACATCCTTTTCAGCATTTGCTTGAGCGTACCGTTAAATTTTTCGACCAGACCATTGCACATGGGGTGGTACGGGGTAGACAATAAGTGCTTGATCGAGAGAAGCTCCATTACCTCATTCATCAACTCCGAGGTAAAGCTCGTACCCCTGTCTGAAAGAATTTCGCGTGGCAGACCCACTCTGGAGAACATTTCGATTAAACCCTCCGCTACTGTTCGCGAGTCAGTGGATGGTAGAGCGACGGCATCTGGGTATCGAGTCGCAAAATCCACTAGGGTGAGTATGAACCGATTCCCCTTCTTAGAGGTGGGTGACAGCGGTCCAATGAGATCG